CAGTAGTATTACATGTTATTACAGAAGTGCTGAAGACTTAAATCTGCCCAAATGTCCAACACTTGATGGATTAAATCTCCCTTTCTGAGCACATGTTCACTAAATGCAACATGCTTTCTTATTGCTGGGTAAAATGAGAGCAATGTAACAGTGGTTTTTAAGTAATAGTAATAATCCCAGCTGATCACCCTCACTGCTTAGGGCCTTGTATCACAAAATCACAGGCAATCATGGGGGAGATCATCCCCTTTGTTTTTTATTTCTCACATTTCAATGTGAATCTTGGCACAGCAGCTGTAAACTGAAAATGAGGTCATTGCTCTAAAACAATAGAGAAGATGAGAACACATTTACAGTACAGGCAATATAAACCCCTGATGCAGTGGTTTTTATGATTTTTTGGTCCTTTCCTCTTAGCTTCCTTTTAAAGCACCCTTGTATAAACAATCAGTCCTATGAGCCATTTTTCTCTCTGTCCATTTTCTACTTGTACTCTCATGCACACTCAGCCTTACTTTCCCGCAACAGAAAATTGCAGGCTTCTGTTTAGTTTCTTTTGTACTGTCTCCTTCTACAGCTTGCCTTGTCCAACATGCTGCTTGTTCTCATCATCATGGTTCAGGTTATCATAAAGAGAAGGACAGTGTCTTCTTTCTTGAGCTTTACGTTTCCCAGATATCTATTCTTTCCTTCAAGTATTGCTGATGCTTTACGTAATGACATTCCTATAAGGCTTTGCTTTTTTAGCTTGGTAACAACTAATGGAACTTCAGTAATGGATTTTACAAAAATACAAAGTCTTTGTGAAATGTCCAAAACCTTACTATATACTTAGAGTATAAGCCTGGATCAAATGTATCACTGTTCTACAACCTTTACTGTCCAAAGAGCCATTTTTGACTTCAATCCAAGAAGAAAGTACCAAGTACAAAAAGAAAAAATGAACAACTATCCACCACAGGATATTTGCCCTTATTGAAGAACCACTGTGCAATTTCAACTTTTAGGTTCTAAAATGGAGGGAAGAAAATTTTGAAAAAAACAACAAGACATTTTTCTGTATGGATTGCTTATATTTTTTTAAAGATTATGTGCAATTTTCCGGTCTAAAAACCAAAAAGTTTTTTTTTTTTAAGAATAATTTTCTAATAAAATTTAACCAATTAAGAAATGTGTTCAGGAGATATTTTTTCAGTTTGACATGCTCATTCTGTTTTCACAGGTACTAGACTTGTAAATTTAATACCCTCACAGAAATGTTTTACCCTAATTCTGAAATTATGTACATTTATTACAGTACAAAACAAATTCCCATTTGCTTTTTTCAGATCATTTTAACACAAACCTATTAGATAAACCCCACATGATCCACATTTATTTGTGTAATGCAGCATATTTTCTTGAAGTATATAATCATTAGGTTTATTTAGTTAGTAATAATAAAATATTCCTACTTAGAAGTAAAACTAATGATTGTATTTATATAAGATACATAAAGTTTATTGTTAGAATTGCATGAAGGTAACCGAATTATTATGCATTTCAATCAACTAAACTTTTTGTAGGTAGAGAAGATCAGTAAAAAGTGTGCATCGTCAGTGGGAGTAGTTTACCTTATTCTAAGCAATATATACAGTGGATAGTGAAAATATTGGTTTTATACATTTAATCTTGAATTTTATTATTGAGATAAGTGTTTCTTTTTTCTGAGTTTTTTTTTTTTCTATCATTAGTATTCGTTATCTTTATTTTAGTCTTTACAACACCTGAATATGTCATAACTACATTTTGCCTATCGGATGAATAAATCAGATGTTATGATCCCCTTTTTACCAAAAAGGTTTAACTCTTACTTGAGTATTTCAAAAAAATTCTGGATTCCCTTAAAAAGAAAGTCTTTTAGACAAGCAGTCAGTGAGTGAGAAAACAGCTGAATTTAACACTAACACTAACATAAAGAAATGAGGCATAAGGAGAAAGAAAATGTTTGTTTTCAATTTTATATAACTTCCTATTTTAGTGGTAAGGTACGCATGAAAGGAGGGATAATTATTACCCTCATCTCCTGTTTTTAGCTCAGTAGCATCCAATAAGCTTAAAAAATAAAAACCATCCGGAACTGATGGGAAAGGCAATAAAATTGTCCTGGATGATTCATCTACTATACGGTACATTGTGTTGATTTACTGGAAAATGAAAATGCAATGCCTTGGTAGTAATCATCGATGACTGGTTCCATCAAACCTTATTATTCTTCAAGAAGAAACTAAATTCAAATCCTCTATATATGCTTAGTCGTCTGTTTAATGTGTTTCCTGAGAAGCAGAGTCAAAATACTGAATAGAGCTTGCAAACACAGCACAACCATTCCCGTTGCAAACTCACTTTTGATGCTTTCATCAGCAACTGCAATAATGAACAACTTAAAGACACCTTTCCTGCAAATGGTTTAAATCGCTTTTGAGCATTTTTCCCATTTGTTTCTTACATTCCCATATTGGAGCTGTCCCTCAGATGTAGATCCGCTCCTTAGAAAATGGAAATAAAAAACGGATAATCATCATGACAACCTTTCAGAATGACGCCACAACAAATGAAAGAAAGGCCTAGAAAATTGGTCATTTTATTTTAATGGAGGGAAGGTCAGAATATGTTTGTTTTTAACCCTGAACTGAAATATTTAGCAAAGAATAGGCTTACAATGAGCTCCTAACAATAGAATGATCTCTATCCAGTCTAATAAAAAGCAAAACAAAACAAGGTTAGCCACTTCATTACTAGACTAAAAAATGCTCTAAAGCATCAAATTATATAAAAATGAGTGAATTAAAATCAATCAGGATTTTTTATTCAAAATGGGCAGAATAGTGACAAGAGGGAAAACAGTAAACAATTTAATTTTATTTTCTAAGAGGATGTCTAACAAGGATGAAAAGAGAAGGAAATAAATGTTGACAAAGAAATAGATGATTAAAATACGTTTTTTGGGGTTCATTTAAAGATGCTTTTGTATCAAGATTTTTGATGTATCTCCTGCGATACAGCTGTGTGTTTGACATTGTGTTCACTGCTATACAGTTTTCTTTTACCTTTGGAATGACTCTTCAGAGCTCCAACGTGTGACTATAGCCATATTAGCATTATGAAATAAATTTCATCATTCAACTGTTCTATTCAATGCAGCATGTAATCAATATATCAAATAAAATACAATATTCACACCTAAAATGTGCAGCTACCAACAATAGATATTTGAGTCTACAGTTAATTTACTTACAGAAGTTCTTACCTCATCAGACTAAGATAATTGATCTTAATAACAAGCATCACAGTTCATCCAAGGTAAACTTTCATATATGCTATTGAGCTTTAAAGTCTAAGAATGAGGCAATAATAACCGATCAAGGTTGTATACTCCTCTTCCTTAAGACACTACCTGCATAACTAAGAGTTTGCTTTGACTAAATCGATGGTGTCACCTGAAGCAACCTGAAGGACAAGGTTACATCAGAGGTCGGTTTCTGGGTTTGCTCTGTGCTTTGCTACAAGGTTTGCTTAACTTTCTACAAGCAGAACTGGATTCTTACATTTCTGATAATGGTTTATTGAAAGATTCAACAAAAATGTGCAAAAACCAAAAGAGGAACTACAAACATCTCAGGGGAGGACAATAAAACAGGCAGACAAACTGGCAGAGAAGAAAGCCAGAGCATTGGGTGTAAAATGGAGGAAATTGACAGGCTCATAACTGTTGGGGAGGCGATCAGCGTAATAATGGAAAGCAGGTGAGTCTAACAGACTGCACTGCAGCTGTAACCTGGAGAGTTGGAGCAACATCATGAGTATGCACAAAGGGAACAAGACAGCAAACACATAACCAGTAAAGGGTAACTAAATACATACAAAACACACAAGAACCACGATAGATACCAAGCACAGATAAACAATAAGAAAACAGTTCTCAGTAAAAGAAAACATAAAAAATTAGTTGTGTTTCTATAAGAAATGTGCGCAAAACTATGTCAATATTCTGCTAGTTTTGAAAATGCAAATTCTGCAATTGTTGTCTTTAAAATTAGACATACGGTTTAAATTGCATGTGAATTTGTTTTTTCAGGCGAAGTCTCTTGAAAACAAATATGCTGTGCCATCATCCTCAAGCTGTTTCCAGCCTTCCTCGTCTTTTTACAAGGCAGTAAAGTCCAGCTGCAGATCACGTTACTCATGTGCTGTAAAAAAGTGTTTCCTTTGCAGTTTGCAAAATATAAGAATTTGGATGTGACCAAAAAAACCACCTCATCAAAGCCTAAAGACTTTTTTAGCAAAAACCAAGATCTCTTCTTTATTGCAGTGTTTCCATTGGCAGATTTATTTTCATATATACAATTTGCAGAGTTTGATGATTAATGGAAACACAGCTACTGAATGTAATAGCTGCGTTTCCAATGGAATAGATTAGGTCAAATCATACCCACAGGCTAAACTGGCCAAATCAATGTCAAAACCTTGATCTAAGAATCCGTGGCTAGACTGAAAATGTGGTTTCCAAAGACAATTTCGACTGATATTTAGCTATTTTACACAAAAAAGAGAGAAAAACTTGTGCAAAACTGGTAGAAATCAATAATTGTCCAGGAGCCAAAACATTTTCATATCAGAGGTATTTATTAATATTTTTTTAAGTCTTAATCTTCTTTTAAAGTGCTTTCATACGTCTATTTTTAAAAAAGGAGTGAACTGTTGTATTTGGAGGCAGACTTTGATTGAAAGTTATATTAAAATGACAGCAAAAAAACAAAAAAATATATATAATAAAAGCATATATGTTTTACATTTGAATAAGCAACCATTAAAGATATTTTGTACTAACTAGAAGAAGAGTTATACCTTGTAATAATAATAAGACATTTGTTCCATAATTTTCAGTAAGGTTAACTGGCCGTTCGTAATTTACTTTTGGGTATAAATTATTTTAGCAGAACAGAAAATAAATACTGATAACAGAACAAATATTTAGTTAAAATAAAATATTTAAAGTACTTTGTAACCAACTAGTGTATAGTTAGTAAATACATACTGATTTCACATTTTGGGGCTGAAAACTATCCAGGGGAGAATTTTCTAATCACTGTTTTCTTGTTTACATTGAAATCTGTAAATTTCATTGTGTCCTCTGATCACTCTTTTGGCTTTTCTACTTCTCATGCTGAGCCCCTCTCCTCACACCCAGGCGTGGACGTTTCCAACCCAGTCGAGCAGTCGTCCTCTGTATCGGGCCCTGGCGATAGGCTGGATGAAAAGAAGGAGACGAAACTTCCTCAGAAGCCCGCAGAACACTGCTGCCGCCACCACTACCAGGGGTGACATCATCACAAAGCCCAGAATGATGAGGGCGGAGCAGCTGTTGTCATCCAGGTAGCGACAGATAGCTGAGGGGGAATCAAGGACCTAGAAGGACATAGACATGGCAATAAGAGGAGCCCTGAACAACACGGGACAATGTATCTAATTTCTTTTGTGCTACAAAGAGTGAAGTCAGTGGTTAGATAATGGTGCAGAAAACTGAGAAAAATGGTCTCCTTTTTTTTTTTTACCATGCTATCACCTTTATCCTGCTGATATCCACCTTTCCAAATCTATTTAACAACCATATTTAAGAAGACTTTTAGACTTAGACAAACTTTATTGTTACTTAGTATACACAGTATGCATACTACCGTAAATGAAATTTCATTTTGTACAGCTCTTATGTCATTTCCGTTTCTTTAAGTGCAGCAGTGACGGACTCAGAATATTTATTTATGATACACCGTGTGTGTGAGAACATGATTGCTTTAATACAGTTTTCTGCTGCTATAAAAAATAAAAACAAAAGGATTTTGAGCTCCCATGTTGCACATCCTTAGCATTGTATGGAAATAGTGAGCACAATTAGCACCCCTTGCACATGCAATTCCATTTATCAGGATTTCCTGTGTATTGCCTAGATCAAGATGGTTAAATAGGGACAGGATTATTACTAAAGTCAATTTAGAAATAATATCTACTTAAAATTAGTATATTTATAGTATTTTAATAAGAATATATCACATTTAATTTTATGGTCAGTAGAAGATGTGTTTTATTGTCCTGACCTTAAGGTAATCTATATGGTTTGACCCTAGCTGGCTTGTACCAACAGTGAATTTATTGTTGTGTTCCCTGTTTAAAGGATCATCCGTATGGTCATCCATATATCCTGAACCAGGAGGGATAAACCGTCAAGCACCTTCTCATAATAGCAGCCTTACATTAGCATTCTTACAGCTTTTTACATTATTATTTAGTCACATTTGTTTATTGCACATCTGTCTATGCAGTGAAAGATGTGCAATTAAAACATTGCAAAACTTAGGGCTAGAGTTGCTTCACTGCCTCCAAAGATATAAGAAATACGTCCTCCTTGAAGTAAATGTTTCTCACGATATAGAAAGAACAAGAAGCCTTTGCTAAAGGGTTAGTATTCTAAAGTTTCGTTTTGTTTAGTCATTCTGGTTTCTGCTGAAGTTTCCTCAGAATTTGTTTGCTCTTTTTTAATAGCACACCACCATGGTGGGAATAAATGTCCTGTGGTGGATTGTTCCACTTTCTATTTTCAAAATGTTGGCTATAAAACAACCAGAACGGCTCAAGCACAAAATGAGCAGCAGCCCACTGACTAGCACCTGTGGAGCCCTGACTATGTTGGTAGGAGCCTTATTTATATTCTTCTTATTGCAGTTATAACCTTCACTCCAAAGAAAATTCTTATCCAGTGACCTCGAAGGCGACTGGGTATGGTGCTTTCGATGATGGGGAAAAGACAGTTTCAAACTGGCCAATCACCTATCAAGCTAATAAAATAATAAGCTTCCAATGCCATGACAATTACATTGTGCATCTCTTGTTTTCTACCTAACTATTAATAAAACAAAACAAAGAAATTAAAATAATCTGTTAAAAAATGAAATAAAATGGGTAACTTTTATGTTTGTATACAAGCTAACTTTAGCACAGCAGGATAGCTCGCTGCGACAGAGAGGTTGAGTGGCAGCTTTTTAAATTACCGTACAACAGGTTGTGGAGACTTCCTTACTAACTTTATATTGTCTTCTAACTGGTGAAAACTGTTTTGACAGGCATTTGTAGTATAAGCATTTAAAATAAATCTCAACATTAGTGTTGCTAAAGATATTTTGAAATGTATGCAAAAACAAGCTTTCCTAATAAAAAACCTGACATAGACTACAATTGGTCTTTACTTCTGCAAGTCTGGGAAATAGAAATGTCAGTTATGATGAAACAAAACTACACCTTTCTCTCTATCTACAGGTTGCAAATAACATATATCAAACCTCAGAAGTGTGATAGCACAAATCAGAATCCACAACCTTACTTTTTGAAGAAATCAGTGGTATAAAAAGTAAAAATATGGATAGAAAATACTTTGAAAAATCAACTGATGTGGCTATTAATTCTCACTGGACGTCAGGTTTGGATGATACTACAGACCCTCTGTATGTCTATTTGCAAATAATAGTAGAAACAAGAGCAGGCCAAAGAAAGAACAGGTAGAGAAAAAAGCAAGGATTTATCAGGAGAAAAGTGTTTAAAGATAAGTATAAAAGCAATGTCGCCTTAAATAATTGCAAAATGGCCGGCAGTTGTATCTTACATTCACTTTTCTCTAAAATGCGATCTGTGCTTTTGGTAAGCATGTGCCCCACCTGTCTGAGCTCAGCAGCTGCTGGCACCAAATCAGAGAGCATTGTCTTCTTACTGACTCCATCTTTGGATGTGGAAGCTCACTAGAGTAGATGGAAAGACATATGGAGCTAGGAAAAAGGTTATGGAGGACCTAGAGTCACTAAAAAAAGGAAACCAGCCATTTCAAATTTAACATTTAAATGTTTAAAATGTGCAATTATAAAACACTTTTCAAATTTGTTTTCAAATTGCATGATTTAAAAGTTGAATATGAAATGGCTGTTTTTCTTTTTCAGTGACTATCTAGATCCTCCATAATATGGAGGATAAAGGTGACTCTGGTAAGAAAAGCTGTTAAATAACTGTAAAATATGTGAGGCTGGGGGCGGGGATGGGGAGGGGTTATGGCATGGCAGCCACCCTAGACATCCAGCCAGGGCTTCATTGAAATGGTTTAGATCAAAACAGATTCATGAGTTACAGTGGCCTAGTCAAAGGCCAGACTTACTGGGCATTGGTGGCAAAACTTTCCAACTTTGTAATAGCTCACTCTCTCTACTGAAAATGACTGAGTTTCATCTATTTGGCAACCAAAATGGGGGGAAACGTGTCTGGATGTGCAAAGCTGATAGATGACATCCTGGAAAGCTTGCAGCTGTAATTTCAGAGTAAATAGTTTTAGCAAAATATTGACTTACTGTGGCTGAAAAGATACATTTCTTGAATTTCTGATACAATGTGGTTTCTTTGAATTTTATGTGCCAAAATGTGTTCAAGGGGTGGTTTGTTTTCGTAGAGATTTTCTGTTCCTGGTTAAAACCAGAAAGTCACAACAATAAGTTTCTGCACCTTAATGGAGAAGGGGTCATATTTAGGTTCACATAATTTTCTGCCAAAAAACATGTTCCCTGAAGGCGGATTGTCTGTTGACAGAAAGCCCTCCATTGTTCCATGAATACAAGGACTTACATGCCTAAACTTCCAGTTAAATTAAACAAGTCAGAGTGTGTATGGACAGAGCAGATTCTTCCTTGTGAATGATTTGTGAACATTTTTCTGCAGATGAATGCAAATATTTGGACAGTTTTGGGGAAAACATGTTGGTGGTGCAAATGAGGACAAGTAAATAAAGCCTTTTGAGGAAAAAAAGACAACCCCTCTTCTCCAGATAAAACAAAAACATGTAACACTCACAGCAAGAAGTTGGTTAAAGCAGTCTTAGAGTTTTAAATGCATTGTGTAGCCAGCTGGCAGGTTCTCTCTTTTCTGCTGAGGAGTTTAAAAAATCGTTGCAGCAAATCAAGGAAGGTTTAGTTTGAACATGTTACTTCTGAATTTCCTTGACAGCTCAGAGGATGTAAGGGTAATTGAGTTTTTTTATTGTGTGTTTTTATTTCCTAATGTCTGGCATAAATCTTTTTGAAGGATATTTGCAAGATTGAATTCTTGCCATATTTATGATGCTTTTGTCAAGTTTTTTCTAAACATAGGGGATAACCTCTGTAGTGGACTGGTGTGAAGGAATGGTTTGGATCTAAACAGTGAGGTTCTGTTAAGGTATGAGTAGCAACAGCTGTACTGGCTGCAGCAGATAGATGTCATATTGGAGTGGGTTTTTAGAAAAACAATTTCATTCAGCAAGAGAGATGTAAGTGGAAACAATAGGTTATATATAGTTTAAAGTTAGAAATCCCCAAGTGCAATTAACCCCATGGCTACAGAGTGTTTCCACATTATGTAAGCCCCTGGCAGATGTATTTATACATATATATATACATATATATATAC